ATGAAAAAAGTGTCCATTTATCTTGAATACTAGTCGAAATATTTGTGAAAGAAGGAGGTGGAGATCATCTGTTTAAAATTAGTGAGAACATGGCCGCCAAAGATTAGTTATTTCCTTAGCTTAAGAGCCTGTAGTAACTAAAAATTTACATTTTTTGTGCCTTTAATCTACGTTTTTTTAAAAATTCATACAGAAATGATTCTTTAATGGGCATGAAAGGTGTTGAGCCAAAAACAAAAAACTGATAAAAATTCACAGACCTGCGGAAAAATGCAGGTTTCTCCACTTTGATTATTTTGACGAGGGCCTGATTCCACCACGCTGCCTCACATATGTGCGAATAGTTAGGCGATTTTACGTTGCATCCAAGGGAAGCGAGTTCAGTTCCCATGAATGAAAGTTTTCTTCCAGAATCTCGAATCTCCGAATCCCCCCCCCCCTAAACACGATGACTAGAGGGCGCCACTAGAAGGTCCTACTTATTTACTTCCCTCTGTTGTTTCTTTCTGCTTGTCTTACGTTTTCCCAGTACTAATAAATAACCATTATTGTGTACATGTGATGTTCTTTAATTAAACTCAAACAGGCGATGAATATCGCCACCTGGCCTGGTTTGACCTAGACAGACAATGTCGAAGCTGTTGGCTCCTTTTGAAAAAAAACACGACTTTGACGTTGTAAAACATTTTATTTAGTCATTTAAGTCGGTCAGTCAAATCAGACATTTATTTATTCGTACTATTTTGCTATTTATTGTACATTTTGTCCTCAGAAAATGTTCTGCATTCAAAAGACCGCTAAATCCATGCCACACCATGGCTCTTCTAGACACAAACACAGTTTTGGAGACCAAAAAAAACCCTAAAATATTAATACAGAGTAATGAAAACTGAGGCACCAAGACACAAACAATGAACACAACTGAAGTAAGATTGTTTTATTGATCTAGACAATATTACAGTACAATAACAATTAAATGATGGCATATCTAAGAGAATTCGGGAGCGCTGTGTATATAAAATGTGCGTCTCTTGTATATATATATATATTGTTCATACATTGTTTAGGTTATTTGCATTTTGACCTCTTAACTAAAAAAAAAACTTTAAATAAAAATTATCTGTATGTTTTCAATTAATACATGTAAATTGTATCCCGAAATGTAACTTTAAAAAATATCAAATTTTTGCTAAAAGTGTTTATATCGGGCAGTAAGACAATAAAAAAGTGTGAGTTTTTTTATGAATAATACATAAATTAATGTTCATTCAAAAGATGCCCATGCACAACCTCACAATCTCACATCTAGTGCTTTTATCAGCCCATAAATACAAACCATCATTGCCCTACCGTCAGTCCGTCCTGGTATTCTCTATTTCTTTAATCCCTCATCTAGTGTTATATCAATCCATAATTCACAGTTGTAACACTCATCTAGTCTTGCACCAATCCATACATAAATATAATATCGTTTTGACACTTATTCATGTATCGAACCATAATTCACACTTTAACACCCATCTAGTGTTGTACCAATCCATACATAAAGATGTCGTTTCGATACTCATCCATGTATCGAACCATAATCCATGGTTGTAGCACTCATCTAATGTTATGCCAATCCATACATAAATATAATATCGTTTTGACTTGTATCCATGTATCGATCCATAATCCACAGTTTTGACACTCATCCAGTGTAGTATCGACCCATAAATCCATAGTTCTGGAACTCACAAATCAACCTATCAATCCATATATACCCATAAATTTGACACTCATCTATTGATGTTTCAATCATTTATCCATAATTTTGACACGTATCCAATGATGTATTGATCCACACATACAGAGATTTGACTTCATTTTTCATCAGTTTACCAATTTACCCACCCACCTACCTGAAAGTCAAAGCCCAACGACCCACTCGCCGAATGACATTCTATATTTATCAATAAAGATAACAAGCATTTTAACCATACATCATTATGTCATGACATAATTTATATCCTGTGTATTATTACTATCCTGCTTTGATTTATAGCTCTGTACATGTTATATGCGCGCCAGAGCGTGCATGTGTGTGT